AGTTTTCTTCAGTTGTGCACCTGTACCGTGAAGGGAAGGATCAGTATACGGAGCAGATGTCAGAATATCGGGGAAGGACAGAGTTTCTGAAAGACGGCCTGGCTGACGGAAGAGTTGCCTTGAGGATAGGCAATATCAGACTCTCTGATTCAGGGCTGTACAAGTGTTTCTTTCAATCGGAGTTCTCATATCAAGAAGCTGCATTGGAACTACAGGTATCAGGTCAGTAAACTTGCTTTTTTACATTGCCTTCCCTAGAGGACAGCATTGTATCTCCTTTCATAAGCGCTGGCTTTTGGTTTTGCTGGTGGGTGCCCCACACCAGCCCTGCCCCCTCCCCTCAGGCCCCACATCCACTCCGCCCCCAGGGCCCTGCTCCACCCCTCCCCCGAAGTCCCCTCCCCTGAGCGCCTCCTGACTGCCGCTCACTTCTTTCTGCCCCCTCCTGCCTTAAGGGAAGTGAGAGGGGGACGGGGCAGAGAGGAGCCTGTGGCTCAACTGCTGATTGGTGGCACAGCTGCTGAAGAGCTGATGGGGGTGCAGGGCCAGCCACTGAACAGCTGATTGGCAGCCAGCCCTAGGGCTGCCACAGCAGCAACCCCGGGCAGGCCCATGGGTGCTGAGCACCCCCTATTTTTTCTCCATGGGTGCTTGAGCCCCTAAGCACCCACGGAGTCAGCGCCTTTGTCTCCTTTAAATGGCAATTCCAACACTTTCCTTACTGATGTCAGTTGTCATTTGCCAGCAGTGCTAAGTGTCTGAGATCTGAGGAGACACTTGAAAGTTTTGGTCTCTTGGTTTGTGCACTGCAGTTATATTTCTAAGTGCTGATTGCCAGTCGAGATGTGTGGAAAAGCTGTTTTTAATTCCCTCCCCTCCATATTTGTGGTTTTTGAGGAAAATATTGTATATTCATTTAAGGTGATACAAAATATCTGAAACCTATCATTGCATTCAGCTTTTTAAATCGCCTGCACCACTCTGTCTGGTGAAAACTACTTTCAGCTAACATGACAGGAGAAAGATTTATACACATTCATAGAATCATAGAAGATTAGGGTTGGAAGAGACCTCAGGAGATCATCTAGTCCAACCCCCCGCTCAAAGCAGGGTGATTTTCTTTGAAATTTTGGGGCTCAGTTGTCACTCGCCCTAACTCGACCATGCAGGGGAATGGCAGAGAGTAAGTGTGGCCATGTTAGGTTTTCAGATACCCCAGCTTTAGCATGTGTGGGAGTGCAGGGACCAGATGCTCACCCACCAGACCAAATGCGTGATGAGTAAGCAAGGAAAAGTGCATCATAAGTGCGTCATAAGCACAGCCATGTCTGCGGTCCTCTACCCCCATGTGCCCATCAACACAGCTGGCTAGGTACCCAGTGAGAGTACACTGCACCATGAGAAGGGAATGTTTTTTCTCCTCCCAGTGCTACCTGGGATGTCTCTAAAATGCACAGTCTAGTCCTAAAGGATTATATAGAAAATAATCCAGTGGTTTTGTAACATGCAGTAATACACAGAGACATGCTAGACTAGAAACAGTGTTTCTCAAATGCAGCCACTAGGGGCTTTTCTTGCAGCCTGCTGGGCTGTGATTGGGGTGGGGGTGGGGGGAAGAGTAGCCCCTCCCTGGTGCTCCTGGATGCACAGCCTTGGTGTTGGCGCTTCCAGCAAGGGCTGGTCCCTGCCCCCCTCTGGATACACCTGGGCACAATGCTGGAGGAGTAGGCAGCTGGTGAGTTCCGTACCGTCCCAGGGGCAGTGGGGATTAGGCTTTGGGCTTCAGCCTGTGGGTGGCGGGGTGGCAGGCTCTGGCTGCATGGCATCGGGCTCCAGCCTCAGGCTCTGGCCGCGTGGCATTGAGCTCTGTCCCTTAGCCGCAGGGATTCAGGCTCCTGCCCCCTGCTGCCTCTCACAGCCACCCACCCACCCCCATCGCCTCT